GCCCCCCAGAAGAAGGAACATTGATTCTCCTGGGCACCAGGGCTGGACGGCAGAGTGGAGTGAGGGGAGCACTGCCCCCAAAAGAAGGACGCCTGTTCTCCTGGGCACCGGGGCTGGGCAGACCAAAATGAGGGACAAATGAGGAGGAAAGAGGGACTTGGTTCCAAATGAGAGACAGTCCCTCGAAATCAGGGACATTTGGGAGCATGGTTGTGGGGGTCTGGGGGGTTGAGAGAATTCTAAGAATCTGGAAGCACCCTTTAACAATAAGGGGGCGCCCAGATATCACCCCTCCATATGAATAAGTAGGGGGACCTCACACTATTTTTTTTTTCTTGCATGAGGTCCCCCTTAAAATTCATACCACACCAATTGCTTACATGGCCAGGGATTCCTAGCCATGTAAGTGAATGGGACTGGACACATCATTGGTTGTTTGGGACTCAACGGTGTCGGCGTCCTAACGACCATTGACTGTGGGAAGCCGTTATGTATAATAAAGGAAGTAATACTGCTACGACGTTCGGCTCCCTGCAGAACCGGAAAATGTTTGGTGTTTGGAACCAACTCCCTGTTCATATGCAATATTTTATATTAGTCTAGCTAAAAAAAAAAAAGAAAGAAAAAAATGTTTATTTTTTTAGTCCCTCTCATATACTAAACCACAACTCATGCCCTTTTAATAGGCCAATTCTGGATGTTAAATTTCAATCCTCGTATGGAAATAAAAATTACATTGCAGCAAAGTACCAGACACAGCTCGGAGGAAGCATGTGCTAAATGTATCAGGAGCAATATAAACATGACAAGATAGATGTCTCAGGCGATATTATATTATTTTATTACATCAACACTCTTCAGAGAGCTCCAGCTGCTCCTAATATCATTGAACGGTAAACTGACAGCACAGATTCTGGAAAAAGATTATGTAACAGGCCGTCCGTGAAAGTCGTGATACCAGGAAAGGGGGGAGGGATTGGATTCTATTAATACTTTTGCTGCCGGTGAACACCAGTGCGGATCATTGAGCGAACTAGGTATCAGGCTAATGAGAATTTGCCCTGGAACTCTCATCCTAATGAGGACACGTGGCCTTCGGAAGTGGCTCCCCAAAGGCAAAGGGGTATTCCCCAGGACCGTGCGGGAAAATATTTGTTTTAATGATTGGATGGGTTTTGTAATGAAGTGTGTCATGGTAACATAAGTGATGGAGCTGCTGCATTCTCAGCTTTTCAGGAGCCTCACAATTTATTTATTTAAAAAAAAAATAAATATATATATATATATATATATATATATATATATATATATGGGGTTCCCCCTAATTCATACGAGGCTCTTTAGGTCTGATGTCAATTTCAAGGAGAACCCTTCAAGCAGAAAAATCGAGAAAAACAACTGATTTACCCCAAGAATCAATACAAGATCCTTATCTGAGCATACAAACCGGCAGGCCAGGAAAGGGGGAAGAATGAGCGTGACCCCCCCCCCCACCCATAGCAGGCAACATGTCCTCAACATGGGGAGTGGCATGGGTGGACTGACAAGTCATGGGGCCCCCGGGCAATAGTGGATCATGGGGCCCCTGTGTCCTTGTCCAAACTCAAAAAAGCCTATGAAAAAGGTACTAGGGGCATCTCATGGGGCCCCCTACTGACCCCAGGCCCTCGGGCAGTGCCCGAGTTTCCAAATGGTCAGTCTGCCCCTGGGGAGTGGGTACCTTCATCTTCATCTTTCAGAGTACCTTGTCCCAATGTGGGAGCGTGAACCCCCCCCCCCCCCCCCATAGCAGGCAATATGTCCTCAACATGGGGAGTGGCATGGGCGGACTGACAAGTCATGGGGCCCCCGGGCAATAGGGGATGATGGGGCCCCTGTGTCCTTGCCCAAACTCAAAAAAGCCTATGAAAAAGGTACTAGGGGCATCTCATGGGGCCCCCTACTGACCCCAGGCCCTCGGGCAGTGCCCGAGTTTCCAAATGGTCAGTCCGCCCCTGTGGAGTGGGTACCTTCATCTTCATCTTTCAGAGTACCTTGTCCCAATGTGGATGAGGACAAGGGCCTCTTCCAGACTACCTTGGCCCAGTGGTTGTGGGTAGGGGGCTTTATCATGAACTGGAAGCCCTCTTTAACAATAAATGGCATTCAGATACTACCCTGCCCTCCCCCTTTAAATGAAAAACTGTTTTTTTGTGTGAGGTCCCTTTAAAATTCATACCAGCCCTAAAGAGCCTGGTATGAATTGGAGGAGGGGGGGGGGGGGGGCACACCAATTACTTACATATCTGGGAATTCCCAGCCATGTAAGCGAAGGGGGCTGGAGACATCACAGGTCATTAAGGACTCAGTGGTGCCTGCCCGATCACTGAGAAAACTAGGTATCAGGATAATGAGAATTTTCCCTGAAAACTCTCATCATAATGAGAAACACGTGGCCTGTTGGAAGTGGCTCCCCAAAGGCAAAGGGGTATTCTCCAAGAGCGAGCGGGAAAATATTTGTTTTAATGATTGGATGGGTTTTGTAATGAAGTGTGTCATGGTAACACAAGCGATGGAGCTGCTGCATTCTCAGCTTTTCAGGAGCCTCACAATTTATTTATTAAAAAAAAAAAAGTATGGGGTTCCCCCTAATTCATACCAGGCTCTTTAGGTCTGATGGCAATTTTAAGGAGAACCCCCAAGAAGAAAAATTGAGAAAAACAATACGATTTACCCCAAGAATTAATACAAGATCCTTACCTGAGCATACAAACTGGCAGGCCAGGAAAGGGGGAAGAATGAGCGTGACCCCCCCCCCCCCCCCCATAGCAGGCAATATGTCCTCAACATGGGGAGGTGGTTACCTTCATTTTCATCTTCCAGAGTACCTTGTTCCAATGTGGATGAGGACAAGGGCCTCTTCCCCACTACCTTGGCCCAGTGGTTGTGGGTGGGGGGGCTTATCATGAACTGGAAGCCCTCTTTAACAATAAAGAGAATTAAGGATTCTTATCTGAGCATACAAACTGGCAGGCCAGGAAAGGGGGAAGAATGAGCGTGAACCCCCCTTCCACAGCAGGGAACATGTCCTCAACATGGGGGTTGGGTATCTTCACCTTCATTTTCAATGTTGATGAGGACAAGGGCCTCTTCCCCACTACCTTGGCCCAGTGGCTTATTATAAACTGGAAGCCCTCTTGAACAATAAAGGGCATTCAGATACTACCCTGTTCTCTCCCTTTAAATGAGTAAAGGAACCTCGCACTGTTTTTTTGTGTGAGATCCCTTTAAAATTCATACCAGCCCCAAAGAGCCTGGTATGAATTGGAGGAGGGGGGGGGCACACCAATTACTTACATATCTGGGAATTCCCAGCCATGTAAGCGAAGAGGGCTGGAGACATCACTAAGGACTCGGTGGTGCCTGCCCGATCACTGAGAAAACTAGGTATCAGGATAATGAGAATTTTCCCTGAAACTCTCATCATAATGAGAACACGTGGCCTGTTGGAAGTGGCTCCCCAAAGGCAAAGGGGTATTCTCCAAGAGCGAGCGGGAAATTATTTCCAGCAAGTGAGATTATTTGTTTTAATGATTGGATGCATTTTGCAAAGAAGTGTGTCATGGTAACACAAGGGATAGAGCTGCTGCATTCTCAACTTTTCAGGAGCTTCGCAAAAAAAAAAAATAAATGCATGGGGTTCCCCTAAATTCATACCAGGATCTTTAGGTCTGATGTCAACCCGCTCTAAAAAAAACAAGAAAAAAGTGTGATATCCCCCTAAAAATTCATACTAGACTGTATCTGAGCATTCAAACTGGCAGTTTAACCTCTTGGCGATGGCCGAATGCAAATGTGCGGCCTCCTGGCATCTGGGCCTAGACGCAGAGCGGCCGCACATTTGCATTTTATTAGAAAAACCATTTGTGCTGAGAGCGCACGCCCTGCGTGCTCCCAACACGTTCGGTGCTCACGGAAAGGTCCGGATCTCCTCTTTTGATCGGGACCTTTCCCGATCATGTGACCGCCGTGATAGCGAATCACAGCGGTCACATGACCCTAAAACCCTGCCCTGCCTCCTGGTTTCTGGAACCCTTAAAGGGCCGGGAGGCGCCGGCGCCAAGGGGTTACGAAAGAGGGAAGAATGAGTGTGTACTCCCCCCCCCCTCCTCCATACCAGGCGGCCTGTCCTCAACATGGGGGGGTGGGGAATGCCAGGGAGTCTACCACCCACCAAAATACCTTGACCCCATGTTGATGAGAACAAGGGCCTCTTTCCTACAACCCTGGCCCAGTGACTGTGGGGGTCTGCAGGTGGGGGGCTTATCTTGAACTAGAAGCTCTTTAACAATTAAGGGGCACCCAGATACCACCTTGCCCCACCCCCTCTCTTGTAAATGAGAGTAAAGTGACCTTAAAGGGTCCCCTTAAGATTCATACCAACTCTGAAGAGCCTTTGTTATGAGCATCCCCATCCCTGTGGGGCAGGAAATCTTCCACCGGGTTCGGGCAAACTTGGGTTCAGACTGAAGCCAAGCTCATCTTTAGTAGTCAATATCACACCATTAGCTCTCTCCATCCTGAAAGCTCATTTGTGCATCTCTTCCTCCTTCCAATCAACGTATGGGCAGGGGTGGACTGACAACTCATGGGGCCCCCGGGCAATTGGGGATCATGGGGCCCCTGTGTCCTCACCCACACTCAAACCACACCCCAAAAAACCTATAAAAAGTACCAGGGGCATCTCATGGGGCCCCCTACTGACCCCAGGCCCTCAGGCAGTGCCCGAGTGCTTGAATGGTCAGTCTGCCCCTGGTCCACCCCCGCGTATGAAGCAGACACTCTGATTGCAAGCCTGATCCCTCAGCTTATTTTCAGGTTCGGGCAAACTTGGGTTCAGACTGAAGGCAAGCTCATCTTTCATAGTCAATATCACCATTAGCTCTCTCCCTCCTGAAAGTTCATTTGTGCATCTCTTCCTCCTTCCAATCAACGTATGGGCAGGGGCGGACTGGCAACTCATGGGGCCCCCGAGCAATAGGGGATCATGGGGCCCCTGTGTCCTCACCCACACTCAAACCACACCCAAAAAAGCCTATGAAAGGTACCAGGGGCATCTCATGGGGCCCCCTACTGACCCGGGCCGTTGGGCAGTGCCCGAGTACGGAAATGGTCAGTCAGCCCCAGGGGTGGACTGACAACTCATGGAGCCCCTGGGCAATAGGGGATCAGGGGGCCCCTGTGTCCTCGTCCACACTCAAACCACACCCCAAAAAACCTATAAAAAGTACCAGGGGCATCTCATGGGGCCCCCTACTGACCCCAGGCCCTCAGGCAGTGCCCGAGTGCTTGAATGGTCAGTCTGCCCCTGGTCCACCCCCGCGTATGAAGCAGACACTGTGATTGCAAGCCTGATCCCTCAGCTTATTTTCAGGTTCGGGCAAACTTGGGTTCAGACTGAAGCCAAGCTCATCTTTCATAGTCAATATCACCATTAGCTCTCTCCATCCTGAAAGCTCATTTGTGCATCTCTTCCTCCTTCCAATCAACGTATGGGCAGGGGTGGACTGACAACTCATGGGGCCCCCGGGCAATTGGGGATCATGGGGCCCCTGTGTCCTCACCCACACTCAAACCACACCCCAAAAAACCTATAAAAAGTACCAGGGGCATCTCATGGGGCCCCCTACTGACCCCAGGCCCTCAGGCAGTGCCCGAGTGCTTGAATGGTCAGTCTGCCCCTGGTCCACCCCCGCGTATGAAGCAGACACTCTGATTGCAAGCCTGATCCCTCAGCTTATTTTCAGGTTCGGGCAAACTTGGGTTCAGACTGAAGGCAAGCTCATCTTTCATAGTCAATATCACCATTAGCTCTCTCCCTCCTGAAAGTTCATTTGTGCATCTCTTCCTCCTTCCAATCAACGTATGGGCAGGGGCGGACTGGCAACTCATGGGGCCCCCGGGCAATAGGGGATCATGGGGCCCCTGTGTCCTCACCCACACTCAAACCACACCCAAAAAAGCCTATGAAAGGTACCAGGGGCATCTCATGGGGCCCCCTACTGACCCGGGCCGTTGGGCAGTGCCCGAGTACGGAAATGGTCAGTCAGCCCCAGGGGTGGACTGACAACTCATGGAGCCCCTGGGCAATAGGGGATCAGGGGGCCCCTGTGTCCTCGTCCACACTCAAACCACACCCCAAAAAACCTATAAAAAGTACCAGGGGCATCTCATGGGGCCCCCTACTGACCCCAGGCCCTCGGGCAGTGCCCGAGTGCTCGAATGGTCAGTCCACCCCTGGTCCACCCTTGCATATGAGGCAGACACTCTGATTGCAAGCCTGATCCCTCAGCTTATTTTCAGGTTCGGGCAAACTTGGGTTCAGACTGAACCCAAGCTCATCTTTCGTAGTCAATATCACCATTAGCTCTCTCCATCCTGAAAGCTCATTTGTGCATCTCTTCCTCCTTCCAATCAACGTATGAGGCAGACACTCTGATTGCAAGCCTGATTTCAGCTTAAATAACCCTGCTTCATAAAAAGGAAGTAAACGATAAAAAAGACATTGAGAGCCTTTGGCAGACCAGGTTTAACTGGTTCACAACCACCCCCGACCTGCCACCGGTGGAAATAAAGGAAATTAGCAGTCTCCACAGGATGGCCCTTTGTAAAATTGGCCCGTGGCGGCAAATCACAGAAATTCTGCTGGGATTGTAAGTACAATTTTTCTGCATGCGGCTATGAGCTGACCAGCTCAGGAATGACCTTCAGCTTGCAACATGATTAAAGATAATCTCTGATTCCTCCATCCTCATTTGTAACACATAAGACCATTTTTCAGACGTGGTTTTCACTAGGCGGTAAAGCTTCGGGGAATACAAAATGAAAACAACTTTAACTGCTTAGAAATTGATCTGATTTATGGAAGAGGTCTGCTGTTGTTATGGAGCAAGGACGATGTCCATCATAGACCATTGTAGGTATAAATGGGGATTTCACTTAGCTTCCTAGTGGGAAAGGGGCAGTACATACATACCTTATGTAAAGAGTGTGAGGTAGTGCTGGGCTTTGTAGTGGAGAGTTCTCTCTGGTTTGCATAGTCCCCAAGAGTGGCTGGTCCTTCAATTTATTGACCATTGTAATGGTGGATGAGCAGCACCATGAAAAATAACCTTTCCCTTGAATTTAATTTTTTGGCAACTATGTGTACAAACACATCCAACCCATTTCAGGGTTATACTCCTTCAAGACTAGAGGTTCTTCAGGGTTATTCCTTCAGGATTAGAGGTCTTTCAGGGTTATTCCTTTATTCCTTCAGGACTAGAGGTTCTTTAGGGTTATTCCTTCAAGACTAGAGGTTCTTCAGGGTTATTCCTTCAGGACTAGAGGTCCTCCAGGGTTATACTCCTTCAAAACTAGAGGTCCTTCAGGGTTATACTCCTTCAAGACTAGAGGTCCTTCAGGGTTATTCCTTCAACACTAGAGGTCCTTCAGGGTTATTCCTTCAACACTAGAGGTCCTTCAGGGTTATTCCTTCAACACTAGAGGTCCTTCAGGGTTATACCTTCAAGACTAGAGGTCCTTCAGGGTTATACCTTCAAGACTAGAGGTCCTTCAGGGTTATTCCTTCAAGACTAGAGGTCCTTCAGGGTTATTCCTTAAAGACTAGAGGTCCTTCAGGGTTATTCCTTCAAGACTAGAGGTCCTTCATGGTTTATTCTCCTTCAAGACTAGAGGTCCTTCAGGGTTATACTCCTTCAAGACTAGAGGTCCTTCAGGGTTACTCCTTCAAAACTAGAGATCCTTCAGGGTTATTCCTTCAACACTAGAGGTCCTTCGGGGTTAATCCTTCAAAACTAGAGGTCCTTCAGGGTTATTCCTTCAAGAATAGAGGTCCTTCAGGGTTATTCCTTCAAGACTAGAGAGGTCCTTCAGGGTTATTCCTTCAGGACTAGAGGTCCTTCAGGGTTATACTCCTTCAAAACTAGAGGTCCTTCAGGGTTATACTCCTTCAAAACTAGAGGTCCTTCAGGGTTATACTCCTTCAAGACTAGAGGTCCTTCAGGGTTATTCCTTCAAAACTAGAGATCCTTCAGGGTTTTTCCTTCAAGACTAGAGGTCCTTCAGGGTTATTCCTTCAAGACTAGAGGTCCTTCAGGGTTATTTCTTCAAGACTAGACGTCCTTCAGGGTTATTCCTTCAAGACTAGAGGTCCTTCAGGGTTATTCCTTCAAGACTAGAGGTCCTTCAGGGTTATTTCTTCAAGAATTGACGTCCTTCAGGGTTATTCCTTCAAGACTAGAGGTCCTTCAGGGTTATTCCTTAAAGACTAGAGGTCCTTCAGGGTTATTCCTTCAACACTAGAGGTCCTTCAGGGTTATACTCCTTCAAGACTAGAGGTCTTTCAGGGTTATTCCTTCAAGACTAGAGGTCCTTCAGGGTTATTCCTTCAAGACTAGAGGTCCTTCGGGGTTATTCCTTCAAGACTAGAGGTCCTTCAGGGTAGTTCCTTCAAGACTAGAGGTCCTTCAGGGCTATACTCCTTCAAGACTAGAGGTCCTTCAGGGTTATTCCTTCAAAACTAGAGATCCTTCAGGGTTATTCCTTCAAGACTAGAGGTCCTTCAGGGTTATTCCTTCAAGACTAGAGGTCCTTCAGGGTTATTTCTTCAAGACTAGACGTCCTTCAGGGTTATTCCTTCAAGACTAGAGGTCCTTCAGGGTTATTCCTTCAAGACTAGAGGTCCTTCAGGGTTATTTCTTCAAGAATTGACGTCCTTCAGGGTTATTCCTTCAAGACTAGAGGTCCTTCAGGGTTATTCCTTAAAGACTAGAGGTCCTTCAGGGTTATTCCTTCAAGACTAGAGGTCCTTCAGGGTTATACTCCTTCAAGACTAGAGGTCTTTCAGGGTTATTCCTTCAAGACTAGAGGTCCTTCAGGGTTATTCCTTCAAGACTAGAGGTCCTTCGGGGTTATTCCTTCAAGACTAGAGGTCCTTCAGGGTTGTTCCTTCAAGACTAGAGGTCCTTCAGGGTTGTTCCTTCAAGACCAGAGGTCCTTCAGGGTTATTCCTTCAAGACTAGAGGTCCTTCGGGGTAATTCCTTCAAGACTAGAGGTCCTTCAGGACTAGAGGTCCTTCAGGGTTATTCCTTCAAGACTAGAGGTCCTTCAGGGTTGTTCCTTCAAGACTAGAAGTCCTTCAGGGTTATTCCTTCAAGACTAGAGGTCATTCAGGGTTATGTGGATCAGCAAAAATAGCACTGTCTCTTTAAGGAGCACTGAAGTCCTTTTGATGTACCTCTTCAGACCCCAGATGAATCTTTCCTCTTCACCCGGCTGCCTTAAGGGTATCCCTAGGTAAGAGGTCCCAGGAGCTAACAATGAAGTAGTCCCGGATGAGAATTAGTTGGGTATGGGTATGCACCTGACAGCCATCTTCCTTTGTCTGGCCCAGAGGGTGTAGGAATACTCACACTGTCCTGGACTGTTAACATGATGGGTTGGTAGCTGCTTTCAGGCCTTACACTGGGTTGGCTCCTTCTCTGCTGTGCAGGATGTCCTCCCAAGGAGATTTTGGGCAGTGGAGATCCTTCTTTCCAGTATCCTGCCTGTAGGTAGACTCCTCTCCCTGGGGCCCCTTCCCAGGCTCCAAACTCCAGCCTCCTCTCAGTCCAACTTCCACCAACTCCAGCAACAACTCCCCTGCTGCACAGGCTCTGCCACATTTAAGGGTTGCTCTTAGCAGCCATACCTGGCCTCCTGTCTGGGGAGCGGCCACGTTCCCCTAAGCATGCAAATCTGGGCCTCCTCTGCCCCTCTTCCAGAAGGTTCTTGCAGTTTCTTGAAGGGTGGGAGGGCTCCAGAAGCCCTGACCTGTAGAGCCTCCCAGCATTAACTCACTACCTCACTCCCAGGCTGACTCATCCCAGACTTCTACCCAGCCTCTTACTATATATTGAAATATATTTTGAAATATATTGAATACGGCCAAAATTATAGTATTTCAAATATATGGTAATAATGTAATATAATATTCCCAATAATTTGGGAAGAATATTTTTAAAATATATTTCAAATATATTTTTTTTTTCCATGTGGGCATATATATATATATATATATATATATATATATATATATATATATATATACATATATATATATATATATACAGTGTATGTGTATATAAATATATAAAATATATATATATATATATATATATATATATATATACAATTTTATGGGTTTTTTTTATTTGCTTTAATTATTTTTTTTTTCCACAAGATTGGAGTTATACTTTAAATGGGCTGCCCCAACATCCACACACCGAAATATATATATTTTTTTATTTGCATTCATTTTTTTTTCACAAGATTGGAGTTATACTTTAAATGGGCTGCCTCCAACCTCCATACACCCAAAATATATATTTTTTTATTTGCTTTCATTTTTTCCCCAGAAGTAAACGGGCCATAAAATTGGAGTTACA